TGGGAAGCTAAATCAAGACTTGCTTAAGCACATTCCTTAACCCTGTGGCCACAGCCATGGCCATGGCGATGCTGAGGTGCCTCTCTCTTCTGTTTGATCCAGGAGATTTTCTCTGCATGCAAAAAACTTCAAAATCAAAGTTTTCTCAAAAATTATAATGATTTTCTGCAGGAGTTTGATTGACAATAACAATCTCCAGGTGACTCTATACCCTGTCCCACATTAACAGTTCATTCTTTGGGGGATGTTCAGGGAATTGCCATGTGTTTAATGACATTTGACTTTCCTCTATGAGTTATCCTACATCCATTTTATAAACACAATGCTGAGTTACCTTTAAAATGTTATTTTGGTGCCATATTAAAACAGAGCATGCTTCTTCCACCCACATTACATATATACAAATCAGTAATTCCCATGTCTATGCTTTAAAAAACTCTCTTGAGTAATCCTTCCCTCCCAAATGAGAAGATTAAGCCATAGGGTCCAAATGGGACTTGGTGATATTTTGCTACTTGATCACTTCAAAGTCTCTTTTCACTCCCTGGTAACTACATAAAGTACCTTTTAGCATGATCAAGGGAGTCTGACTTCTCTTTAATTTCCTGCGTAATGCATTTAAGGGACCCAAATCCTTTAAGTCTAGGACACTTTATCAATTTACAGCTACAAGAACTTCTCCCTTTAGGCATTAGTCTTTTCTGCCCAGAAGGTGCAGTTTTGCAATCACTCCATGCATAAATGTATCCCCAATTACAGGCTTTTAGTCACCTCTTTGTAAAACCACGTGCACTTGTGAAGGTAGTAGAGTGGGAACTCAGATACCAGTGAGTGGACCCAGGTTGTCTGCAAAACACCAGTGTAGCTGGAGGCTGGTGCTCTGACACAAGGTTGTCACGTGAGTGTCTTGGGCAAAGAGGAGAGAGTATTGTACTTCAAAGAGTAATGCTTGTATAACTCTGCTATCATCAGTATTGATCTCAACCTGAAAGTCTGAACACAAGCAGAAAGGCCAGCTGCTACCTTGTACTTCCTTGAAACCTGAATGTGAGTTGGCAGGGCAGCAATGGGGAGAGCATGTTCATGCCTGAAAGTTCATTGACTTTTCCAGCTCTCTATGCATGACTTAAGAAGATATTATCTCTCCAAATAAAATTCCCCTCTGATAATCTTCATATTCTTGCTGCACCGTTGCAGAGGCATGGCCATTACCAGGATCCAAAATGAGAGGAATCAGCTCCTGGTCCTCCTGAAAAGCTTGCATAGAAAGTCTTGCCTTGCCTTGCCATAGCACAAACTAGAAGGGTTCTCTTATAACCAAAAAACTTGTTCCCAACCCATGCAATAAGATTTGGGCAGGCTGATCATCATGTCAACTGAATTTATTCAAATTTATTCATGGTGAGATTATTCCAGGGGCAGGGTTTTTTGTGGATTTATCATATATTTTAATTATTTTTTTTCCTTTTCATCCTTTTCCCACTGATATTATTGACTTAACAGGCAGCAGAAATACCCCTTTTCAGCTTTCCATATTACCAACTCCAACAAGCCGAAATCTCAGATTGTTCTTTTCCATGTTTCCTCTTTCTCTTGTTTTACACAGAGTGGTCTCAACAGAGAGCAACAGTGACACTAGCACAGCCTTAGCTCTTCTGAAAAATGGTTCACCAGATACGTGTTGGGATCATATTAGTCCGCCTGACCCCACTGGCTGTGGTAGTGTCAGTGAACAGCTGATGAACGTGCTTAAGGCTTTCTTCTCTTCAGATATTTCCAGCTGATTAGCTCTCAATTCATAACAGAATTTCTCATAATTGACGCAACTGATTATTAGCACACAGTGCTAATAAGATACCTTTCTTCACATTTCTGCTATTTGGGTCCTGAAGTTCATCCAGTTCTTTCTATGTGATGCCTCAGACTCTGTTCATTTTTATTGAGCTTATTAAAGTTGCTGAATTTTAGCCCATTTTCATTTCCCTTGCTTGAGTCTAAACTAAAAATTAAGCTTCTAATTATATATCACCATAACCAACTCAACCTGAGGAATTAGCGATGTCTATTTGTAAATCCATGCATGTGTTTGTGTGCCTAACCCTCTACCCCCATATTTTATGCATATTCAGAATAAGATGCCCTCAAACGTGACAAAAGATTATCTAATGAACCATTCGACTATAAGGCTTATCTAAATTAAACACTGTGTAAAATAAATTACAGTTTGCTAAAGGAAATGAAACATATTTTACCTTTCACTAAAAATCGCATTTACTCCACAAATTAATCATGTTTCTCAAGGTTGATGAATAAACTAAAGTCTCAGCTCCTGTAAGCACCAGGCTCTGTGTTGGAAGGCAGAGACGGATAGCTTCTACACCAGTTTATTTTTGTCTGTGGAATGTCTCCTGACAAAAGGCAATTGTGCCCACAGCATATGTATATATATGCGTGTGTGTGTGTGTGTGTGTGTGTATGTAGTACTTTCTGCAGTTTCTTTCCTTTGTGGTTGTTCTGTTTCCATCAAGTATTTCTTAACAGTACATGCCCCTCAGTCCCTGTGAGTGGTAAGGTGAAGCGGCAGGTAGCGTGAGGCCTGCTGGGTTCTTGTCTGAAACATATCTGCACAAATGGTGAATTAAGACTTTCTGAAGGGATGCAGAACTTGAGGCATCTTATCAGCAAGTGTATTCCTTTGTAGAGAGTTCCAAGAGACTCTTCTCAGTTAGCTCAGAGTTACCCCGAAGCGCTCATATCTTGATAAATTGTTTGCCAAAGTCACTTAGAAAATGCTGTGGGTTTTTAGTTGAGTTATTTTTCCTGTGTTTTTCACAGAGGTCTGTGTTCTGAGATAGGATTTTCCCAATTTCCTGCATCTCGCAGTGCCAAGAAAATATGAAATCTGAATAGACATAAAGATTTCTGGTATTCAAATGTCAGGGTTTGGACTAAAATAAGTGCCAGATTTGCTTTTATTCTGCTTATGTGTCCTTAGAGACTGCTACTAGTAAGGGTCTGGTGCTCACAATAGCTTATACTCTAGAAGAAGCATATTCTGTATGTCCGCTTCCATAATGACCTCCATGTGCCTGATTTCCAATGGAACAATTCATATTTAAATGTCTAGGTAACCTGCAGAGTATGGATCTTCATTCATTCTGTGGAACTCAAATCATCCTATATCATCTCAAAAGGTGTAATTACTTTTCCATGAAAGATATCTTTCAAAAAGAGCCCCAAACCTGCAAACAACAAAGTAGTTTTTTTGTTTGGTTGGGTTTTTTTGACTGATCTGCACCTCTAAGCCCTGGGTCAGCAGTGTGCAGGAGGACGCAACATGTTTCTGAGTAGATTTTGACTTACTGTTCTTCGATGGTTGCAATGTGGAATGTTGAATTTTGCTGCCTTGCATTATTTTTTTTCAAAATAAAATTAAAAAGAAGAGACAAATTTCAAAGGCAAAACCAAGTTAAAAGACAAAATATCACTTTACACTCTTAACAACAGATTGAAATCTGGACTTAGAGAATCGAACATTAAATTGCATCAAACATATCCAAAAGCAAGTTAAATTGCTTTCTTATTTATATTTTATTGGACATTGACACAGAAGCACACATTTTCTATTCTCCTGAATTAGTGTTAGTTTGAAAAGTATCCTAGTCCTATGCTGTTTGATGTGACCTCTCTAAGGCATGAGTATCTGATTTTTCATCCTTTCTGAGAATCTATAATCATATAGGACTTTATTATCATATGGGATTTTATGTCTTAACAGTCATGCATATAAATAATTCTGGTCACTGTGGAAATGTCAGAAGGATTTCACAGATGCATCTTGAAGTGTTAAAGCTGTTGAAAACCAGAACTCCTCTTGGGTTGTCATGGACAAACCAGCTGGGTGCCCTCTTCTTGTTGTGTTCAGACTCCCTCTCGGGACAATCAGACCTTGACACTGACTTTTGCTGCCTCTCCTCATAGGTTTGAGGTCTGTTGTAACAACTCTGACACCACTAAGCAACTAAACAGTCAACAGATGTAGAGCGAGTTGCAGACATGGAATAAGAACAAGAAACCTACTGGAGTCAGGTGAAATTCCCTAAATCTCTCTCCCCAGAGACAAAGGAGAGCTGTTCAAGTGTTTTCCAGACTAATGGAAAAAATCAGCTTCTTCTGTTGCTTTACGACAGAAGATGTGGAGAGTATAAAAAGGTAGTAGAATGCCATCTCCTGCACAGTAAGAAAGCAGGATAGAAAATAAATTGAATTATTTATTTCTGTATTTAAGCACTTGGAAGGGATGCAGACAAAAGCGATATGGGGTCTTTTAAACTGAAAGAGTCTCATATGAGGAAAGGCATCACAATCATGTCCAGAGGAGAAAGGATATTAACAACATGTAAATGGTACATAATACAATAATGAATGAAACAAAAGGCTGTTTCTTGGAAAGTAAATGAATAATGACTTCATTTAAGTCTAGAGTTCTACATTAATTCATGCATATGCTTAATTTAAATGGGATAATTCCTGTGATGACCACACTGAATTATGTGTAAATTTTAGTGGGACTGAGTCACATTAAATTTGCAAATCAAAGTACTGCTCAGAAATGTTATCTGATTTCCAGGTATTAAATCTACAAACTCTATTAATTGTTTGAAAGTAGGTAGCCAGTGTATATGTATCAGATGAAAAAGTTAAATCCCACAATTTATATCACTATGAAGCTTAAACCAAGCAGTCCACTTTTGGGAAAGTTACTACATGCCCTTGGGGAAAAAAATTTTGTCTAGTTCTTATATACAGTCTATCCAAGGTGGCTGCTGTAAAGGCTGGTATAGATTCATAGTTTTAATTAAGCAGTTATTAAAATTTAGACATAGAGTCTAAGTAACAGAACTTCATGGTAATAAAGAGAGATACCTTATTTATTTTACTGAGAACATAAAGCCCCACAATTTTATGTATCTCCTACTTAGGAAAAAGTATTTTAGTAATATAGGTAATTATAAATAAATTTTATTCAATTCTTGTTTTGCAGGGAACAAACTCATTGCAAAGGATCATAATAATAAAAAAAGGTTTTAAAACTGACTCAAGTAAGAATAATTTTTTTACTGAGTGGAAACAAATACACTTACCATACCGCTGGTTAGAGTGTATTATCGCACAAACACTTCAAGCTGCCTTGTGGCAAAATGAGCATTGGAGTTAATATCATTCCCCCACCCACTTAACCTGCATGAGAAATTTCTCCTTAAACTTGAGAACAGTGTGGTGGGAGGATGCCCTGAGGGCTGGGGGAAGGGGATGCCCAACTTCTTGGGTGCTGTGCAGCAAAGCTTTGCCTGACGGATGGTGTTCTATGAGCCTCACAATGAGTTTACAAGACTGGACCATCAACAGCTAATTTTTTCTAAATGTAATTTGAGTTTTATGGTTTCACTTGGGTCTTTTTCCAGCTCTGAGTTTGTGCAAAGATGTGTATGGTTCCTTGCATGATTTAAGTGGCAGGGATGATTTACATAGGGTGGGGGGTAGGGAAATGCTGCTGTGTGGGTGGCGAGATTAATCTGCAATGACAAAATGCCCTGTATGGCAACTCCCCATAGGGCCCTGAAAAGACTGTTCAGGGCCTTTGTCACAGAAGCATGTAAGGATCTGTGCGTGGGATGAACCATGGGGTCTGGGAGGGGCTGGCAAGCACTTTCTTAGTAGCCCAGAAATAAATGATTATCTGGATGTGTCATGTGGAGCCCTTCTGGGATCCTGGGGTGCCACTCATGTGCCAAGGTAGCACAGCAGGGAAATATCGCACTGGATGGGGAAGAAGAGCTACAGGGATGGTGTGGCTGGCATGAGCTGAGAAGCTAGGCCAGGAGATGTGACAGGCAGTGACCCAAACCTTCATTCCCCTCTTGTCTGGCTATGACTTTGTAAGTGGTTCTGTATGAAAACAGATATAATATATAATTGAGTGGCAGGAGTGTGTTCTCATTGGAAAAGTGCCTGTGCTTTCATTTTAACTGGGGTCCTCGCTCTGTAATTACTTGTAAACACTCTATCAGTTATATGAGCCAGATGGTACAGTAGATGGCTTTTAGCGACTCCTGGAAAATAGAGAAGACTCTGACTAGACACCTTTTACTTTTTTTTTTTTTTTCTTTTTTTGCTGTTTGGAGCATGCATAGATTACAGCTTGCTTTAAACAGAGGGCCAAGATGAAGCCTCAAAACAGAGGCAGACAAAAACCTCGCGCTGAGTTTGGCACTGGCAGTGTGAGATTGCTGAAGCTGCAGTGCCGATCCAAAATATATGTACTGTAAGATGCACAAGAGCAGCAAGTTGCAGGCTCTTGCCAGTCAGTATCCATCTACTTCACGATGACAGGGCTTGTGGGGACCTCTGTTGTCTTCGGTACAGGTTCCAGTGTGGCTTTGCGGAGCATCAGCTGTGCTAGATGTATTCTGGTTTGGACAGGACCTGCAACTCCTGCCCTCCGTCGCTCCTTTCCCGGAAAGTCCCTCCCAGCCTTTGAGTTCTTCTTTCCCTGTAAAAAATAAGGAATGATCAGAATTAAAACGGACAAAAATAGTTAGTCAGTTTACGGACTGTGCTTGCGTTCCCTCCCTTCTTAGGGGGTAATCAGAGTGACAGTAAAGGAGCAATACTCGAAAGGGGGGCAGAGGCGGTTGCTGAAGAAGCAGTAGATGAGGGGGTTGATGGCACTGTTCAAGGCTGGCAGGTTCTGAATGATCACGGATGCGAAGAAGCGCTCTTTAGTCTCAGGGAGTATGTTGAAGTTGTCCAGGATATCAAAAAGAAAGTAAGGGCTCCAACAGAGAACAAATGCTGCAGAAGAGAGAGAGAAGAAGAGCTTGACGTTGGATAGTTGAGCAATTTAGGGAGGCAATTACACACTCATGGAGAGACTGTCATAACACATAAATATTTGTTTATGCAAAAAACCCTCTCGCTATTCAGGATCTTATTTAAGAGAATAGTTATTAGATTGTGCTTTTATTTGTCTTTATTTTTATTTTAATGCCTATAAAATATATTATGTGTACTCCTCTAAGTGTTTAGAATGCTCCCTTTAGACATATTTAGACACTTCAGAACACTACACAACACATAAAGGGTAAATAGGTAGCCAGTTAAAGCATCATCAGTTATAGTGAAGTGCTCTTTTAATGGTCCCCTGAGTGAGCAGCCAATCTAAATGTACACGCAACCGAAGCGCTGCTCCGTGACAGCACTGCCTGTCATAGCCACCTATTAAAAGAAGGCTCTCAGACGCCCAGGAGCAAGGAATGACACTCTTTCACACCACATTACAGCAAACCAACATGTCATTTGGTATGCTGGCTGGAGGTGCTGTGTACATGGAATGTGCAGGAAGATTCTCTAATTTCCTGTACTGCCATTTGAGAGACGAATTTGAGGAAGGGAAAAGAAGACTGCATTGCTCATAGCCTCTGGTTTTTTTCAGAGGTGGTAGGGAAAAAAAGGTCACAGATCTACCTTTATTTGCAAACACAGGGAATGAATCTGTCCTTCACAAATTTTTGTGTCATCTCTTCTCACAAAGGCTTATGATTCAGGATTTCCATAGAAATGCTGGGGGACAGGTAGTTCACTCAACAACCTATAAGTACCTGGGTTGCAAACAATCTGTAAAATCAGACACGATCTTTTCCTGACCCAGATGAGACAGAAGAGTGACCTCATGCCTGTTTCTTGTCACATTAATCAGTATTTCTTCTCTGTCGCTTAGCTGAGTGCTAAGCACCAGCTTAGCACTAACTGTGCTAAGGATCATAGCACTAACTGTGCAGAACTTTAAGTTACCTGCTTGCACATCAAGAGAGGCTGCGTGCCTCTGAAGGTACACTGAAATACTGACCATCCATGTGAGCTCTTAACTCCTGATGGCCTTGCAATAGTAGTTGCATCTGACAAAATCTTTCTCAGAAAAGTTCAGGCACAAAGAAGCTGTTCTTGGGCTTATGAAAGGTATGAATCACACCACCCTCTCTCACGTCTGCAGGCGCTACCTCTACACGGTGAGCTAAGCAACTCAGCAGTGGCTATTATCACAGTATCCTCCAATCTGAATTTTGCACAGTACTGGAAAGAGAAGCACTCTCTTTTTCAGTGTCAGGGGATGATTGTCAGCCCTCGAGAGTAAACAGCTTTGGTCGCTTTCCTGCATTTCTCTGCAGTTAATCACAAGCCTTGTGTGACGCTGGTTTTATTTATTGAGATAGAATATCAGCCTCCTAATTGCATCAGAATAATGTAATTTCCCTAGGAGACAGAGAACGCCTGCACTGAGTCATCTGTTGCTCAGTCAGGAAAGGAGAGTTCATTCTTTCCATCTCGGTAGGCAACACACCTGTAACATCAAATGCAATCGCTCCACATCTTGCCTCTCCTTCCTCTGCCTTGCACCAGCCCAGCAGCTCACATGCCATACATAGTCTCTAAGCCTAAAAGACAACTCAGTTGCCAAATCTTTCAGCAGTCTGGATGGGAAGGAGATGACCCCTTCCTTTTTCCTTTTAGACATTGTCCCTTCTTTACTTTCTTAATGCACATGAGGGGCTGTGCATATAATTTCATTTGAGGCTTATGTCAGATGCCTAAAATAGGAGTGTATCAGCCACAGGAGAGAGGAAGGACAGGGTCAGAAGGCAAGTCAGGGATCTAAGTTCCTTCTCTGAGCCATCTACTGCACTTTGTCTGCTGCTGATGGAGGTTGCTAGGGAGAAGCAGCTTCCTCATGTCAGCATCCTCCCTAGCTATCAGCTGAGGGGCTTTTCACTTACCAAGGATAATTACAATGCTGTACTTGATCGCTTTCACTTTTGCCCTTGATATGAACCCACGACTGGTGCAGCCAGCAGCGGTTGTGCCACCTGGGAAAAGAAGAGTTCAGCTAGTAAGAGAATAGGGCTGGTGTGTGGATGTGTCAGTGTGTACCTTGGCAGGAAGAACAGGAATACATAGCCCCATCCTTCCCTGGTGTCAGTCAGGAGCTCAGTAGTTCCTGAAATTTGGGCACTTTCGAGTCTGCTCAAGTTGAACCCTTAAAACCTGAACCACCCAAAATCAAAAAGGTAAATGTAATCAGAGTAGATCTTTCTGAAGCATTTTGGCATTTATAGTCTTGGGATGGAATGCTCACTCATTTTATAGCCTTCTGTGGCCAAGAATTTCTGATCTTGAGCAAAATACAGATTTGCTAAGGAAATGCGAAAACACAGAAAAAGCGTTACCTAGGTATATGCTAGAAAATATTTATTCTGAAAATGGACAAAGTTCTAGGAATAGGAATTCTAAGTTCTAGAATAAGTAGTTTTTACTTTTTAATAATTTTCTCACAGATTTTTCCTATTGTTTCTCTAAAGAGGGCTTAGTGTCAAAGGAAAGAAGGTAAACAATGTAGAAAAGAGTTATGAATGAACATTTACAGAAACCCCATTTCCACTGCTGTGATGGGGGCCCAACGCAACACTGCACATCCAGGCATTCCCAGATTTGTGAGAACCAGCTGGAATTGAACCATGAGGCTGGAGTCACGTGCATGCTGAGACTCACCAGGACAGCTGGATAGGATGACAGCCTGAGCTTTGCTCTTCATCCAGATGGTTCGAATCACGATTGAATATATGACGCTACAGAAGGGAAAGAGTCATTGGTATTATTAGGCACAGTAAATTTAGCAGGCATCCTGGGTCATTTGTGCTCTATGATTACACTTATCTATGTGTAAGGAGTTCATTGAGATGATGGGGCTGCATAGGAATAAAAATAATAAATGGCAACAACAATAGTAAATAAGATATGACTCTCACATAGTATTTTTCTGAAGCAGATCTGAAGAACTTTCACCATGGGAGTCCTTATGATTGTCCTGGCTTTGTAGATGTCAAATCTGAGGCTCAGAGGAAGGCAGTGATTAGGCCAAAATCTCACAGGAAAGAGCTCAGTGGGGATTTTGAGCTAGCCAAAGCCAAATCCTCCTGGGTACCAGCCCCAGGACACTAGCTTTGAAATGAGGGAAGCAGGGGGAGGGACCTGGTACTGCTATATGTACACTTCTGTTTTGGTGTTACTTTGTGAGTGTGAAGCTAATGAATAAAAAGGTACCCTGGGGAATTTGATAGGGGCGAGATCCACGAGAAATGCAGTTAAATACAGCAGTGCTCAGTTTTGGGTCTCAAGGTCCTGTGGTGGAAATCAAGGAGGACAGAAGTATCAGATAGATGATTCAAAACCAGATCCACCACAATTTGCATATTTAGAGAGAAATATATACTTTCCATGGGAATAGATGAAAAGTGCCCTAGTGCACAATGACCTTGGATAGTTATGATCTTTCCCTAAGGCAATAACCAATCTGAACTTCCATTGGTTTAGTATGGAATAGGGAAAAATAATTTCTTCAAGCTGAAGATCTGTTTGAACCCACATCCTCCTTGAGGATGTTACCTTTTCAGCAGTTTATATGCGAAAGATACGAGGCCTTGCTCTGACTGCCTTTTCTCCTGCAAGTGTGCATAACGTGCAGCTAAAATCACTAAGCAACAGCATACCTTTGACTGCTGTTTTCCTTTTTGGTTTGCTAAGGAAGACAAAAAATGACTTAAGAATATTTCAGCTAATGCACTCAGGTTGCCATGTTTTCCTGATGTAAAATCCAAGCGTCATAACAGAAGTCGTTATGTACCGTTTGCAATACAACACAGTGCTCTGGAGAATCTGGGGCAGCCTGAGCATTAATTGCCTTAAACCTTAGTGGTCCCTCTGTGAAAAAGGTGCAACTAAGAACATTGTTTCAGGGTGTTTTATAGAGGCAAAAACGTGTCTTACTCTTATGTGGTTTATTTTTATTGTCAGAAGAGGCATTACTCTTACTAGACCTTTCAGATTGATTTATGAGCCTTTCCTACAGCACCATCAATTGCTAGACACGCTTGCAAAGGTGATATTTGTGCTCAAAAAACTACTAGAAATTTGGAGGTAGAAACTGTGGAAGTTTGAGTCATCTGGTTTCCAGATATAGTATATGAGAGCTGTAAATTCATTGTGCGGTCTGGGCTGTGCAGTAGAGCCGTAACATCTTTGCCCAGTGAGGGGTTTGCATGCAGTTGCTGTGGACTACAACTTGCTCTCCTTAACCTCCTCAAAGGTCCAGCTTGGCTCCCAGCTGACTTGAACATTTTCCTTTTATCTCCTGGCTTTTCAAGAGGCTGTTTATTTAACAGCTCATACACTTGAGAGTTTCTTTCTACTTTGTACTGACAATGGTGGAAAATTCCCATATTATTTCTCCTTTGATTGTTCCAATGAATAAGAATGTATTATAATGATAATTGTTGTAATCTCAAAACAATTTCCAGCCAATTCTTAAAAATCCTGTTTCTATTTTCTCCCTAGCCTGCTATCTCTAGTCTGGCCTTTGGTATTTGTAGTCGAAACAATGTCCCCTCTGATGCAGACTTGCCTGTGTCCAGCAGGACATGTTCAGAGCTGCTTAAGCATCAGGACAAAGAGGTCTAATTCTGTAGTCAAAATAGTCAGACTTCCTACTTGCAGCCAAGTGCCACAAGGATTGAATTATAAAGTCAGGCTCCTCACTTGCTTTCCTTTTGACCCCAGAATGCTTTCCCTCTTGGCTGCAGAAGGAAGGAACATGCCTTTTGCCAGATAGTTACAACATTTTTTGTCTTCATTGGCATTTCACATATGAGATTACATGTGATTCATTTGTATCCCTAATTTTTAGGACTCCAGTGGAAAGCTGAATTCCTGTTTTAATCCAGAGGTTTATAAAGTGCTGCCAACATAGTGGGTTTGTGCTGGTGTTTTTGCCTCTGTTCATCTTTCATATCTCTATAGCTGAAACCATTGGAGCTTTCCTTATCAGGAGTGGACCAGGGGTGGTGTAAGGATGCTCAAGGTGGGTGTCAGGAAAGCCAAGTCACTTGTTATGCTAGGTACTCTTCTGAGTGATGGTTTTGCCAGCCACGATTATGCCTTTATGATTTGATCTCTCTGGGACTCCAAAGAGTACCTAACTCGTACTAGTGCCTAACCAATTTTTTTCCCCATAGAAATGTTGGCATGGAGCTAAGAAACTGGAGTTTCCAGAAATTTGTCACCTAAATCTTAAGATCATAGAAGGCAACTGCATGTGTGTTTCAAAGCCACAAGAGTAAAACACTTATGGAACAGAAGTTGTGTTTTTCTTACAACAGAAAAACAATTTTTTTTTTCAGAATGCATTTGTAGCTCCTTTCTTTCTGTAAAAGGCAGCTGAAGGAGAATGTGGAAGTTGGTCAGATCTCAAAGGGTGGGAAGAAATTCCCACTTGGAAAATGAAGTGGCAGATGAGCAAAGAGTAACAGGGAACAGATGATAACTGGTATTCAGAGGGGTGTTTGGCAATGGTCTGCACCATTCTGACCGTATTGTAATATCTGTTCCCTTCCTCTGCGTGTCAAGCTGCTCAGCCTTCACTATCAAGTGTAAAAGCACAATACACATTGCCACAAACCCATTTTTCAACCCATGTAACATGTCTGCATGCTGCTTGCTCTTGTCTCCACTGAAAGCACTGAGAGATATGATGTACAGTTCTTTAGGTCCAGATGTTGTCACGTTTCTTTGTATCTGTAAGCACAGAGTGCACTAGTCTTAAAGCCCTCACTCAGGTTTCTTGGGGGCTATAGAAACATGTGCTCTAGTCATTGTAATACACACTGTGATATGAAAATATTATATGAGTTGTTGTGGCCCATTATTTTTAGGTGACAAACTAATGAAAGAGTACTATTTATCATGGAGTAGTCAAACTTGAATGGAAAATTCATCCAAGATATTTTGAAAAGGAGCTGCTCAGGCCTTGGAGACCACAGGATAAAAAGGACATGCTGTTGATCTGAAAATGTGACAATTTTTCTAGCCCTGATAAAATGCATATCTTGAGAGGTGGCAGGAAAATACGAGAATATTGTTCACATTATGGATATATCTGAGAAAAGGAAATTCTTTGCATCTCCAAAACCAACTTAGCATGATCCAAATTCTGAAGGACTAAGATCCATTTTCATCATTGCGTCTTATTAGTTAATGGTGTTGTTTAATAAGCCTCATTGGTAATTACAGCATTCTTTATCAGGTAAATATGTAACTTATGTTTAGTCATACATGAACAGTCCCACCCCATCTTTATTTTTAATTCATGGATCACTTTTTTGGAAAATGAACTGTCTTCTGGTAAGGTTGTGTATTGGTATTATCAACCATAAGAGTTATTGGTCTGCCCACTCTTTAAACACAGATTATTTATTTTAAGTAAATAATTGCATTATGACAGTATCCCATCCAGCCTCAATATTTTCTAGTAAAATGAGCCTTTACCATGGCAAAAGTGCACTTAAGCTCCCTGCTAAATGCTTCTATTTATCATCCAGCGTTGCCTATTGTTCCTTATAATTTATTTGTGCAAAGTGATGCAGCTGCATTGTTTTATGGTAGCTAATTTATAGTGCTGCTTATCTAAAAAAAAAAAAAAAGGCATATGTAATCTCATTTGAACAAACCATTGCAGGTATATGTGATGGGTAAATGAAGAGATGAGCAGATATTAGAACATATGTGCAGGATCTATGCTTTCTTATTTAGAAATGGAAATTGCAGACAAAAATGAATGTGTTCACTGAATCAAGCTCAAAAAATGACCTTTAGTATTATTATTAATGGTATTTCTAGTTCCTTTATTTAATTCAGAGAAATACCTTTTATTTAATCTATTTTTTTATTTCATTACAATGCCTTGGGTTTAATTCCGTATATTTCCTTTTAGTCAGTTCTGTTTTTTCTCTTCTAATTATTTTTCAGCTACTCCAAAGCAAATGTTCTCTTTGGAGTTTAGATTTTAAACAGCAGATGGACATTTTTCCTCTCTGCTTCAAGAGGAGGTTTAGCAATTTTTTTTAAACATGAATTTGCAATTATATTAGATAAATGCCTATGTATTACATTCATAATATAAAAATATATTTAGCAATCATGAATAACAGCTAAAACCCCTCTGAATTTCTGAATACTCAAGTACCAGAATATAATTATGTTTTGACAGAGTAGTGATACAGAATAGAAACCCAGTAGCTGTCCTGTCTCCCCATCACAGGATCTGATGGGCCTAGATGCAACTATTTGCAGGAGAGCAAATTTGACCTGTATCTAACCTCTGCTCAGCAATGCCCCAGTTTTCAACTATCACAGATGCCATTTGAGCTTTTCTTGGTGTACTTCAGCATAGGAGAAAAGGCTTTGGTTATAGTTGATGACTCTCTCAAATAGGAGAGAACCAATTATTGCAGGTTCCCTAATTACTTTTGTCTGAATATTCTGAGGTTTGGTAGGTTGACAATATCAACTGCAGAAGTGGTAGAATAGTGTAAATAAGAGGGAACAGAACAAATTTTTAAGCACTGTATAGAAATACCTGATGCGGGATCTGTGGCTCTCCCTGTACGACACTGAAATAGTGGGGACAAGGAAAGATTTTACATTAAAAGAACAAATATTCTCCCCTTTTTTCATCTCTCAAAGATAACCACACGCTTGGGTTAAAAATACTAATAACAGCTTTTCATTCTGTTTTCATTATTGACGTCTTGTTCATTTGTATTATAATCAGATGAAAAAACTTGCTAAAAAACCACAAGCTGTTTGATAACTGATTGCTGATTTCCCAGTTGCGAAGAAGTGGTAGGAATAGACCTCACAAGTATTTAAATCTTTCAGACTGTTGCAGTTTTCTTCATAAATTACCTTTTTAAATATATGTTTAAAAAACCCCAAACAAAACAGGGGGACAGAATGTTTTCTTGTTTGATGTTTTGGCTTGGAATCTAAGTGCTCACACCACATCTGGGGGTTTAGCTTGTCAGTGGAAGGATTTTCCAGACTGAGCATAAGGTTATCAGCTAAATAATTCATTCCATGGGCTGCAGTGTTATGAATAGCACAACTCCTGTGAGTTAGTTGAAGGCTGTCAGGAACATGTAAAATCAGCTCTACTGAGAGAGCTGAGGGATGGATGAGAGAATCTTAAAGATGGTGGTGTCTGGACTGTAAAAAGTGAAAACAGCTCAGCCAAAGCAGTGTATCTAGTGTGGAATTAAGTCCTGCGCCTGAAAAGTAAGATTTTATCCTTTTTATGCACTTCAGATGAACAGCACCAGAAAAAAGTGCTGTCATCAGTGAACAGCTTTGCTCTAGAGGTTTGGTTTTCAGCAAATTCAGGCAGCAGAACTAATTAAGAATTAACTCCGCCAGCCAGTGTCCCACATTGCATCAGGCACCTGCCGTGCAGCTAAATCAGAGTGCTTCAGCAGAGAAAATAAAGTAGCTGTGCAAACAATATGAATTTTTGCAGAAAAGATTTTATTTTTTTCCCTGTGTGCACCCTGCCTTACTGCCTCAGTAAGTGTGTCGCGTGCCTTGGCTTCTGGTTTATATGTAGTCACAGCTTCTTAGATACTGATCCTTAACTTTTCAGTCACATCTATGTGACTTTTCAGTGCACATCTATGGATCTTCTCTCTGTCATTATGTTGTGGCCTTTTTTAGGTAACATCTTCAGCTAAAGAGCATTAAAAAAAATAAATCACAAAATGCCTTCCTTCATTTACTAAATAAAACCTTTCATTTTTATAATTAATCTCTTGACAGAGTAACACACAACTAGGATGCACATGATCTCTCTCACCCTTATGAAATCGTGTCTCATTTATCATCAAACGTACTGTGCATCTGAAAGTATTAGGTGGAACAAAACATTTGCAGAGAAAGTGAGTCCCTGCAGATATTAACAGCCATTCCTGTTGTTCTTGAGCCACAAACTGCTTACCAGAGTATTTATTTGCTGCAACCACATCAGGTGGATTAGCTTTAAACTCCTGCACTGCCAATAATTTTTGACAAAATAGATGTCACACCTTCAGGCTGCATTGACAGATGTTTTACAGATACATCAGCTGGGAAGTTGCAACGTTCATTTTTATGCTTGAGACTTGAAAAAACATTCTAAAAAATAGCCATTTCTTTCCAAATTGCATGGTATTTTTTCATAATGTCTCAGCTGACCTTGCCCTGATGATAATCCTCTTTTTCTGTAGTTCTAGACCATCCTCTGTGTTCTGAAGAAAATGGTATCACTGACAACTAGAAATAAATAGGCACCAAAAAATCTTTCCCTGTACCATTCCCCTTCCTTCCTCCCAGTGCCAGACACCACTTAGGACATGTCAAAAATCTGACTTCTGCTGACACAGGAGCATTTGTATTAATATACACTGAAACCAGGGATGTGTCTGGAAAGCAACGGCACTGCGCTGCCCCCTGCCTCCAAGGCCAGTGTTTTAAGTTCCTGAGCTGCCATAAACTTCTTGTGTGAAAGTTGCTTAAGGTTAAAGGCACAAAAATTTTAGGATGTTTTATTCATGTCTCAGCTGTCAGGGCAATCTCATGAAATGCCAGTTTCACTGCCTTTCCCTTTCCTCTCATGTCTTCATCACCTTCTTGCTTCTGGGGATTTACTGTAAAGCAAGTCACGGAGCTGATCTGGTTTGAATATCTTCCTTTGGCAGGGAGGAGGGGAGTATAATGTCAACAGCTCTGAAATATTCGTTGCTCTGTAACTTGTCTTTTCTTGCCAAACAAGTATATATGGCATGTAAAAAGGAGTAGCTGGTCTGTAATAGAAAGCGTGCAAATCTGTATGTTTGAGGGGGAAAGAGATGTTTCACACACCTATGGAATGACTGGTAACTGGACAGGCTGTGGGTCTTTTTCTAAAAAACTTAAATGCTGGCTAGAATTTCCTGATTGCTAGCTACTTGAGAAAGCTCATTAAAGAATCCCTCTAATAGTAACAGTCATCCTCAAAGTTTTCTAGTGCCATTTCTTTCCACTCTTAAATTGCTTTTTGCCTGTTCAGTGTATGTTTATTTTTTTTTTTTTTGCTGCTAGTGCTGGGCTGCAGATCTACCCAAATTTTTATTTACATATTCCCAAGAATATTTTTTGGTTTATTTAAAACTAGGCTGCTTTAAGAGACAGGACAACATATGGAGAAATGATCCTATCTAGGAAGGAAGAGCTATTGGACAACTTGGGAGTAATTTTTCTCTATTGCTATCACATCCTTTCTTTAAGGAGAATTTTCACGATTTTATTTATTATATCTGTGCAATCTGGCACAAAAATAGAAGGTTTAGCAAACTGACATGTTAAGAGCAAAGTGTTATAATCATCCCTTCTCTCTAGGGAGCAATACCAGTCCATGTTGAATCCATATCAAAAAGTCAGGTGACTTCAAGTACCACATGGTTTTGATTCTATCAAAGATAAACTTGTTTCTATTAAAAGGTGCAGAACTTAATGTCCATGATAAAACAGTAAGAAACTTCAAGGCATTTAGCTTTTGTAGCCAGTCTCCTCATCCGCCGGAAAAGGTCAGCACCTTCTTCTACTCCCCACCCTGCTCTCACCCAAGGTGCTAATGAGCAGGAAGCTAACAGAGACTCATGGCTCATCACTTGTTGGAAAAGCAGATGGACTGAGAGATATATCCAAGGGACATGCAAACATAATTCCTCTCTTAGAGTCCAAACAACCTGTCATCAAATTATGTGGGGGAAAAGGAGTCCCAGCAAGTCTTTTTTGCTGCTAAAAAGAAGAGATGGACACCAAGAAATCCTAGTAACCTTGCTACTGAAAGAGGAAAAAAAAAGGGGGAAAGAAAGATAAGGGCTCAGAGAACAAGTTACTGCCACTGGGAGCCTTTCGAGGCAGTTAAGAAACCTCAATCCCCTTCCACATCAGATTTTGGCTGCTCCTTTGCGTTGGTAACTACTCATGGCTAGATAATTTTTGTTTAACGTCAACTAATGGCAGTGCCCTAGAGGGAGGCAATAAACTTCACTGATGACTGGGCACAGTCTGGGTTATTGGTTGGCCTCAGTTTAAAATAGATTCTGCAGCAGATTGCCTTTGTGATTTGGGGCAAATCAGTCTCAAATATTTGCAGCTTAGGTTCCCCATAACAAAACAGGAAGAATTGTATTTGCTCCTATTTTAAAAGTGGTTGGCAACTTCAAATGCTTGGAGGTTTCTTTCCAATCCTGGTGAAGGAATACTTGTCTAAAACTGTGAAGCTTGAGAGCACTTCAATTTAATTTTACTATAATTAGTGTTAAATGTAGTTTCCTGTGCTTTTATTAAAGTTATCTTTTGTAATAATAGATAGATATTCATACTGGATTTATGGAGATATCTTTCAAGCCTGAAGCTGTGGAGATAAGTGGACACACTTAGAGATTCATTCCTCTTTTCAGAGAAAATGTTTCTGGCTGTTAATACCACATGGAGAACACCCAGGGCAAGTACAGCGACCCATGTATTATGTGATAAAAACCGAAGCAGCTATACAGCAGGTATGGAAATGAAATTGTAATGAATGAGTAGAAATTAAGGCATTGTGCTGATTGCACACTTGACAGCTTTTACCACATGCTTGCTGATTGCGGTTCAGGCTTACCTGATAATGATCAGAGGAATGAAATACACCAGGAAAGCCACCACTGTCATGTAGGGTATCCAGTAGGAGTCATCAGGCCAGAGAGCCCAGCACTGCACTTCTCCGTTGGAGAGCTGCCGTTTCCCAAAAATAATCAGAGTTGGTATGGAAAACAGGAAAGAGAGGCTCCAGGCCACTCCAATAAGCACTTTCGCCTGTCTTTCTGTGCAACAGAGTCAAACAGACAGTGTTAATGGGGTTGTTGGTGAGAGTGAACCCTTGCAGCAGTACTGACAGAGGGGCAGGGAGGAGGAGGAAATCATGTAAAGAAAGGGAATTTTAGGCTTCAGTTGGCTGATGCTGAAAAGACTATGAAGTAAAAAAGGGATTTCATCTCTTTCTCATGATAAATAATCATGTCATTATGGGCTTGTACTTTACGAGTTTTATTTAAGGATGCTTAGGGTCTGTTGAATCTGAAACACTATGAGAAAGGCACTGGTCTGGGTCAGCAAGTCAGAAAAATGAAATGTAAATAGTTCCTCTATGCTACCAAGAGAACCTTGTGAATGGATGTAAAGGACTGCAGGCCTGCCCTACTGCCTGCCTATTGATGCACCTTGAAGTGAGAAAGATTGCAAAACCTTTCCTATCAGGAAAAAGAAAATGCCTCAGTTCAGGATCAGAACAGAACTGCATACCCAGCTGCCTTTACCTCCAGCTGCAACTTTACAGTCCCACAGAAATGTGGTCCTGAGGAGCATGGGCATCTCCTGCACTTCTCTGTATCGTGATGGGGGCCAAACCCAGCTCCCGTTGAAGAGCATATGCCCAAGCCATGACAAGAGTGGACTGCTAACCATGAGACATAGCACATGACGGTGCTCAAGTGCTCAGCCCTGTTTTATCTGCTACAAGAGACATTGACTAGGAGATGCGTGACCTCATGGTGAAGAACAGGAGCTGAAGGATCCCAGAACACCCAACAGATTTGGGCTACTGCTTCCTCTTGACTTCTGGCCTCCTCCACTGTCAAGTGGGGAAAACAAGTGGGCAACCAAATGTTGCCTGGTGGCATCCATGGGATTGTGTAAATATCAGTGTATCAGAGCAAAATGTCCCAAGGCTTTCATTTTCACAAATCGGTATCTTCTGGCTAAAATCCAGGTAGCTCTAGCGAAAAAGTGTGGGGAAAAAGGGCTGATCTGTGGAATACCAGTGATTTTCAGTGACAGTCCTCCTCAGTTAGATTGTGAGAGGAACAGATGGGGCAGCTTTTTTGATCTAGGAAGCTTTAGTGTTCAAATACTTTATTGTCCTAAAAAATACTTGAGGTGAAACAGAAAATCACTTTAAATTATGCATATCAAAAAGAATGTCTTTCCTCCTTGAAGCTCAAAGAGCAATACAAAAGCATGTGGGCGAAACATTCAAAAAGTAATTTTATGCTTTATAAAACATCAGTTGCAAATACTCAGTTATCCTGCTCATTTTTAAATGCTACCCACGTTCAGCAAAATACAGGCTTGCTAATCTAGGGCTTAAGGGAACTCTGATGACATCTGCCTAAGTGAGAGGGTTAGATTAAGTCTATAAATATTGCACAGGAGAAGGAGAACTGTAAAGTTTCCCAAAGCATAACAGAATAAACTTAGCAAAAGGAATATTAAGAATAAATTTTGCAAAATATTTCCTGACAGAAAGGATACTTCAAATGTGAGCTAACAACTTAAACTACATTCATACAAGTCTCAGTCGGGGTCACCTGTGTATTTCTAAGGGAAAAAGATCATACCTGGATAATATGCCTTATTTTATTTGCACTGTATAGCAATGACTGTAATTTGGACTGAAGTGGGCAATTTGGGTTGGACAAGAGTGGTATTAGATCTTTGTATTTTATAAAACATTACCTGCAATGTTCATTTATTCTTGTTTTAAAATGTCCCTTGTGTTTGGTAAAATATGGCCTTGCTAGTCTAAAGGGCTTTACAGGGCAGTGATTGCATTCAGGGAAGCAGACTTTTGTTTTATCAGACTAATGTTGATTTGCTGCCTCACAAGCAGGTTTTGTTTGTTTTTTTTTTGTTGGAGTTTTTTTTAGTAGTTACTCTAATATGCTCTAAATGCCAGCAAATCGTATAACTAGAAATATGTCTGTTATAAGCGGAATAAAAAAAATATCAGATTTTGAAATACAATACTCTATTTAGCCAGTCTCAGTATTTTCCTTTAAAAAACAACATTGCTGTTTAACTGGAGAGTTTTTCATACTGGATGGTCAAGACTAACTCCCAGGGTTGAGGTGGGAATCTCAGTTGTGAGCACTGACTCACATAAAGGATGTTTTCATGTGACTGTCCCCTTTACTCCACTCCCACCGTCCGTGCACTGTGACAATGGTTTTGTGCACATCTCTCTGCTCCCAGCAACGTGTGGCAGGGAGGCACCTCTTGGAAGGAACTTTCCTTCCTGCCACCAAGAACGTCAATGCTATGCAACCCTTTGATAAAGTGACTGCCACTTTAAAATTAGATTCTAAATCCAGAGAGAGTGGGCCGTTCCAGAATCTCATTGATTTGATGGACTTTAGCATTGTTTTCAGACTAAAGCCATGCCAGGGACAGTTTACACCTATTTGGGTTTCTTTTAATTAAGCAGTTCTTCTGTCACCTCTTGTTTAGTTTGTATGTTGTTTGCATATGCCTTTTCAACACGATGAAATGCCTTCTTCTATAACTTCTCAGTTTCTTTTCCTTTCGATCTTTATTTTACAATTTTTTATTAATGCCCCTTTTTGCTTACAGAATGAGGTGCCTCACAGTAAAAGTGTTAGGAGTAGAAGCCATACTTCTTTCACATCCTTTACTTTCTGTGGTCATTTATGTGTTTGCAAAATATAAAATATTCAACTGCCAAAGTCTGTCTTCTCAAAAACCGTGCAAAGTACAACTCATTGCAAATGCTTTTTAACAGGACTTGAAGCTAGTAACTAAACCACAATTTAAAAAAAAAGTTGGTTGACATTTTCAAAGCTAAATACTTGATTTTTTTTCTCAAATCACACTCCAAGGCCACATGGAAACATAATTTTTAAAATCACTAAGGAGAAACAACTCTTTTGTTTCTTGATTGAATGATTGCGAGGGGATGAGTGTTTCATTTTGGAAAGAAATTTGCCACAGGTTGACTCAGAACTGTTCATGAAGTTTCTCTGTGTCATCACCAATAACAAAGTTTTGTAAATCTCTTTGTTCTCTCTCTGCAGAATAACTAAGAGGGCATTTCAAAAGCCTCCCACATGGCACCTCTGCAAGAAGTAGCTGGGTTGCAAAAAGTGATTATTTTATATATATTCCAAAAAGTTGCTATCATAAATATATCTCTCTAGATTCTTCTTTTGGATTTGCAGATGCTTTCTTTTCCCCTTTGAACATGGTCTTTGCTTGTCCATCAGTGAGTAACCAACTCTTGCCAGAGGCAGGCGAGTTTTGTCAGTGCTTTTTCCTCTGCCCAGAGCTGCACCCAGCTGATGACTCTGGTACCCTTGACTGAGGGCAATGTCTGCTCTTCTCCAGTTTTAAAATAAAAGAAAAAACGTAATGGTATAGCAAATATGTATAGCAAATGTGACTTTTATGAAAATTTGAGGTGAGATTTGAGGTGATTTTGGTGCGGGTTCTTTTTCAACTTCAAAGTGTTTTTCAAAGATTAACCATCAAATTCTTTACTGTGCCCAGGCAGCAATTTAACAAGTGCTACTTTTCCTATACAATGAAGAAGAAACACCAGCAGGTCTGTATCATCTTGCCCCACTCAGCTGGTGGGTTTATGAGCACCTGCCTTCCTGATGCAACATCAGCAGGAGCTGTAGGGCACACCACACTTACCAAAGCCTGCTGAGAAAACCTTGATATCAATCTCCCCAGTCTAATAAAGTTCATCTGCACGCTGGAGAATATCAAGCTAAATTTCAGACAAGTATTTGAAGTTTTCAGATCTTAACATCTGCCAAAACTGCACCACTGCCTTGGCTGTGATTGATTCATAGGTTTTTAAGGCCAGAAAGGATCATTAATCTGATCCCCTGAATAGAGCCGTCTGGCAAAAGCCATCATTACTCCAAAACAAGAATGATATTTGCATTTGATTAAAGCACATTTTCCAGACCTCATGGTCCTTATAATTGTTCTTCTTCCTCCCCATCTGCTAATTCTGTTTATTCACTCAGTGCAACATACTTAATTGCCCCACTTTGTCTCTGTAGGAAAGAAATAGTTTTCTTTAAACTGTACTTCTAAGAGAACAGGAGATATTTGAGTGCTGTAAAAAAACCCACAAATCAAACCAAAACAAATAGAAGAAATTATAAGAAACAGTAGGTGTCCAAACTTATACGCTATATCTTTTGAAGTTCTTATTAAACTGTTGTATGAATTCTCAGTACCATCTTCTCCATCAAGTTATTTTATAGTGTGGATAAATAGAAAATATAGCTGTTGCAGCTTCTGTAGTCAGTATAGTTGTACAAGAGATAACTTTTGCCTATAATTACCTTCTAATAATTCTAGAAGATAATGAAAACCACTATACATTTTAAAATGTCATTTCATTCTTTGCTAACACAATACTTTTGAACACTGCTAAGGGCTAAGTGGAGTTTAGTAAATCCTGAAATCAGAGTTCCTTTGTCATTTGAAAAACTGTAATGGAGTTCAAATGTAGCTACAGCAGGAATAAATAATTCATGGCAACAAGATTAAGAATTTTGAAAACTAAAAAAACTATCCAGTAATATCCATAGCAATAACAAGGCACAGAAATTCTCCTACCTCCTTGCAAGAACTTCATTGGGTAAACTATGGCATGATACCGGTCTATGCTTAGTGACACAAGGACGTAAGTCGAGGCATAGAGAAGGACCACCTGAGGCAGAAGGTGTAACAAGAGAGCAGTTGAGAGAAATTTGTTGCAGAAAATTATGTCAGCAAGAACTCTGAACTAGGAATATTTGAAAACTTTTAAAGAAAGAAAAAAAAGAGAAAAAGCAAAAAAACCCCACCTTTTGTATTCACCCAGATATTTTTCCTTTACCTCGTCCACAAAATTAAAAAGATTTTATATGCTTTGATTAAAGTGTTTCAGCTTTAAATAGAAATTTTCATCATTCAGCACTTTTGAACAATTTTATACAGCATTTTTGTTGTGGTTTCCTGCTGTGGGGACACAAAGCACAGCAGCTTGGGCATACAGGGGAGCACGAGGTTTCTATACCTGGAAGTAGCGAACGATTCTGCAAACGATATCAGGAGCCATAAAATCTCCAGTGTAGCGCCAAATTATGTCAGTCATTATGTTTATGAGTCCCGTGAATGAATCTGCAAAGAAAATTAACTGAAGAAGCATTAAAAGAAGCAAATAATGACCGCAGGTGAGCCGCAGAGGTGGGTATGACCCTTGGGATGTACCAGCTCCCCCACTCCTGAGGGCAGCCAAGCCACAACTAGTCAGCTGAGAATGCTAGAGAAGCTGGGAAAGCTTCCAAAGGTTTGTGTATTTATTTTCTTGCTTTCTTAATTTACCACCAATCCATTCAGGCAGACAGCAAGATTCCTCTAAGCATGGGAGCCCATAGCTGGCTTCTCATGCACACAGCTTTCCTCTGCCCTCTGGGCTGCAGTTCAGTCTGGCTGGCACTACAAACAAGTCAGATGAGCTGGGCCCTTAAAGTCCTTTTTCCTCTCCATTGCTTACAAAGAGATGTGAGGTGACCAGCACTCCAGCCCTAGGCTGGATGCAGGTCCTGGTCTGTACCCGCATGACTAAAATTAACTAGGATCCATTCCTCCTCAAATAACAAGTTGCCTTTTTTTGTGAGTAGAGGTGCATAAAAATTTCCCTGTGGGTGTTAATCTCACATACACCTAAACATTTTAGGCTTATCTGTGAGAGAAATGGAAGGGACAGCCTGATGGGCCTGATCCTGCAGTATGCCGGGTTCACTGCCATCTACAAAGGGTCACCAGGTTTTCCATGAGGTATGGATAAAAAATATAGCACTAGGGAAGCTGTAGGTTAGTGTCTAAATGTGTCAGCTTGATCCCAGCTGTGCCAAATATTGAACTACTTAATGTCCTTTTTTCTTTTTCTGTTATTTCATTAAAAAAGTGTCTCCTACAAAAGCACTTGGAGTGATAACCAAATGTTGCTAAAATCAGAGGAAATTTTGTCAGGACTTAATTTGCAAACTTAATTAATTAATGACCAACCCTGTCTTGTCTGCTTAAGGTTAACCTACTTATGCCTGTACTTTTACTTTCGCCAAATTAAATACACCTCAGGCTATTTTTTTTTTTTTTTTTTGAGAAAATCTAAGGGGATATTCCAGCCTTTGTTCTGCTTATTGAACAAGTGAGTGCTCACAGAGATGCAGGTTTCATAAACAAATTGCAAGAACGGGTGCTCCTGTTGTACATATGGGCGATATTAAGTTTTGCCTCTAAAACCAAGTTCTCTCTGTAGGACCAAATTTTCTAAGTGCAGTCCACGGAAGAAAATGTGCATCAATCCAGTATCCTGCCACTTCAAGTAACATAGCATATTGCTCTTCTTGCACAGATTACCATAAAGGGAGAGAACAGGTTAGGAAAACATTTTGTGAAATTTATCATGACAAAACCAAGCAATATGAAGAAATAGCTTCAATTTAAAAAAAATTTAGGGTGGTGAAGTAAAGTGTTTCATTTTGATACCACCATTTTACATTTGAAAACCATCTCTAAAGTTTAGTGTGATTAAGGTGTTCTAACCCCCAAGTCAGAAGATTTTGATTTTAAATTTATGCCTTTGGACACAAGATATTTCAATAATTTTAAAAAAAGTTTTTGAGAAGTAAATAGTTTGAGCCAGTATTTCCAAGCAAACAGGCATGGGTTTTTCAAAACAGGTTTCTACTAAGCCCTTTGAAATTACAGAAATTCCAGATATTTCTACCTGGAAACTGAGATCTCAGCTTAATGCTTCAGAAAAAGCAACTTGTTTTGCTTCACTGGAAAACCAGGATAATTTTTTCTGTATCAGTAATTCTTTATCTCCTCATTTTTTCCTTCATTTATCTTGTCTTTTTCTTCACGGGTCAGTTCAAAATTAAGTTAGTGTAACTATATTACCTCCCTCCTTATGACTTTATTGTTCAATTAATAGTAGTTTGCTCTTTATTCTCACAGTGTTTCCCAACCCTGTCTTGTCTCTCTTCTCTCTTCCCCTGCCTCCATAGAGAGGCTGGATCAGAGATGACCTCCAGAAGGAAGTTTGTGGTTTGAAACCTTGTGTTAAATGTTGCTCATTGATTAGAGTGAGGGGGCACGGAATGATTGTTCCTTTGATGAGTATAGTGGCTTTAAGGCTTTACTGAAAAGACTGTAGGTTATTAAGGTGGTCTTTCAAAAAAAAACACAGAGCGTTAAGTTTTTCAAAAAGTGAAATGCATCCTCCAGCAGTGGTTCCAACCCATCCCTTCCCCTTTCCTTACTCCTGAATTATTGATTCATATTCTCTCTCTCTCTCTCTCTCTCTCTCTCTCTCTCTCTCTCTCTCTCTCTCCAGTAGTGAAATATTCATTGGTTCAAAGCAATGCACATCAACAGAATTTCACCTCAGGGTATCCTCTGGCTTTTCATGGTTTGAGCATCTGCCAAGCAGGTGCTAAATGGGGGCTCAGCTTTCCTCCAGAGGGGGAGAGCTCGAGGACTGCCCTCTTTCCTACCAATCTGAGAGCTCTGGAGAGAAAAGGGAAAGAGAAAGGAAAGCACCTCAGCTATCTGCTCATTTCCCTCTTCTCATCACCATTTTCCTATACCTTTCCAATGCATCAGGATAGTGCTTTGAAGGTACATCCTGCAGCTGTGGTGGGAGATGGGACAATGTCCTGGTGCTTTCCTTCATGCAAGCAATTTGGGCAGTTCCAGAAGCTTATGGCCACATCAGCTTTTTAGTTTGCATCAGTACTGTGGTTTTTAATCTGTGGGTGGCCCCCACTTCACTGACTTACATGATGGAGATCCACAGGGTAATGAGCCTTCGCTTCAGCTGTTGCTCAACTCTAAGTTATTCTCCAGGGTGCCCTTCATGAATCCTACACTGTGTACCTGCTAGCCAGTGCTCAGGCTGAGGGACCATAGAGGGTCACTCAGCTGAAGCAGACCCCTCTCCACAAATGCACAGAGTGAATATCAGCTCCATCCTTTTTATGCTACAGGTCTCTTCCTGCTGTATAGCATATCTACAAATATATCTATAGCCTTAAGTACTTCAGAAGCTTTAAACACAACTCTCAATTGTCTTTCCCTTGAGAGCCATTGAGTGAGGTTTTTCAGGTGACTGCAGAGGTTTTTAAACGAGGTTTAAACTTCACAGCTTCTTTGTGCTGTCAGCCTCAACTCCTCTCCCCCAGCAGTACATTTTAAGAGTTCTTTGTGCTGAGTTTCAGAATCACTGCGAAGGGCTCAGCATGCTCCTCTGAGCATGTGCCCTGAGCACAACACACGTGCATGCCAAAACCAATGTAGACAGCTGTGAGCGTGTGCCGAGTTTAGCCAGATTTCTCAATGCCCTTTAATTAGAGAAATATTCTTCCACTCAGCGTCCTCGTGTCTTCTCATGTTTTAGAAATCCCTCTTGTCTTTTCGATCCTAAAAGTACCAGACCAACTTTTCTCACTTCTCCAGTCTTCTGATCCCTGCTCCAGAGGGTGTTTCTTATCCTATCTCTGCAAAGCCAAAGCACCAGACTCTCTCACTATGACACAACTGCACACCTTTCGAGGATCTGTCCTGCAGACACGTGTTACTTTATATAGGGCCACCAAGTAAATAATGTGCCTTGTGCAGGTGATCAGACAGTATACAGGAAACATTATATGTAATTTGAATTGCTGTAATAAAGGTTAGTGTGTGTAAGTCATCTGGTTTCAGCAATGAATTCTCAGCAGATCACACATTCCTTGGCTGCTTTCAGCAAGCTTACACCTCAGTGCATGTCACTGGATGACATCATTGACATCCTAAGTGATGAATGTCAGGTACAGAAAACTAAGAGAGCTGGTACATTGCTCTAAACCTCGATGTCCTCATTAGTGTAGGTATCCTCACCACTCCTTACTAAGCTGGTGGCTTGCATATTAGATACTTGCCTTCTTTCACTGATGAATGTTTGTGGGCCAAACAACACCAAGATCATTTCTGAAAACTGTGCTAATCAACCTTCACTCATAACTGTGTGCAAGCTTGTCATTGCAACTGCTTCTTAATACTCTTCTGGGTTCTTTTACTAAGAAGTGGCATGTGTAGCATGGTTCTGTGTAATCATTGCTAGGCAACAGTGTGGTTATAGGCTCATTTATTTACTTAGAAAAATTGGTAGAAAATCAATTAATGAAATACATTCTCTTTTGATACAAAGTAAAGATAAGACAAAGTGCTAATTTGTGACTTTTAAGCCAAATGTAAATTCACAGAAGGATACAGATGAAATGATACTTTGTTGAAGAAAAGACATGGCACTAGTGTGATAGAGATGGTAGTAGTTTGCTCTTGATGGGAAGTGGAGTTTATATAAACTTATGTAAAAGAAAAATTCCATGAGATTTCAATAGTAAGGAAAAACAGAGGGAGGCAGGAAGGACAGATGGCTTTGCTTGGGCAGAGGGAGGGAGAAACAGTCTATTTGGGTTTGCAAAACTGGACAAATTTGCAACCCTTCATCTTCCTCCTCCCTGCCACCACCATGGCCACAGCCAGTCCTCAAAAGCAGAACTAGTTTCTACCTTTACAAACCTGTCAGCATTTCAAAATGTAACGTTTTTAAACAGCATTTATCGTAAAGGCCAAGAAAATGTCTGAGAAGGAGAAGCACCCTGTTGTTCTCAGAGGAGACTGAAACACACTGAATATAGTGCTACAGCATCTATTGTTGGGAAATATGTCAGGTACTGAAACAACCTGTGAAAATCCTCAGATCTAAAGACAATATAACCCAAGTTTCCATCATACTCAGTAAAATCTCTTCGGATTTTTTGTGGGCATGACTGAGCGCAGGCATTGCCTCTATGTATACGAGCCCAGGAACTGCTTGGTTCAGGAGGTGATTGCAGCAGCTCGGGTGGTGGGTGCTACCTCGTAGGACCGAGGAGCTCAAAAATGTAAAAAAAGAAAACACTGCCCTTGCAGGGACAAATCTGAATACAGGCTTGCTGTTGCTATGAGTGAAACAAAATTTTATGTCAAAAATCCCTCCACAGAGATAGAAATCCATTATAGAAAACAAATGGAGGTAATTAGCAATCTGGCGTGGGAATACAGACAGGTTAAAACTGTCTCAG